TCATCATCACGGCGTCGTACACGGCGACGTCAAGATGACCAATGTGGTGGTCTGCACTTCGCAAACCGACAAAAGTTTGATCAACCTTAAGCTGTGTGATTTCGGGTCCTCCCTCATCTTGAGCGACTACATAGACCCGGAAGATGCCCGTTGCAGCCTCTTATCAACGACTTTCCCTTGGGAAGCGCCAGAAGCGAGGTCACCCTTGACCCGACAAGAGGCAATCCAGACTGATATTTACTCATATGGATTGCTGCTTGCACGAATATTCCTTGATGGCAACTGTCCATTTGACCGGCACTTCGACATTAGGTACGACGTCAAGCCCCGTCACGACCCCGGAGAAATCAAGACGCTCAAGGACGGGGACGGGCTGGCGGGCCATATCCTGGCGCGATTGGAAAGCCTTGAATCCTACAGCAACGAGCAGCTGAGCATCCTCGAGAGTCTTCTCACGGCCACAATATCAACAGATTCTAAAGACCGGATCACCTGCATGAGCCCGATAGTCACTGAACTGGAAAGGGCAGCTGAAGCCAAACCAGCAACATTGACGCTCCGCCGCATCAGTGGGTGGTCCAAGTCTTTAGCGACAAGACTACATCTTCGGCAAAAGGGGGTCGGGTCCAAGCAACTAGCGGGGCGACTGCTCACGAGGGAACGCTGTGGCAACTGTTTCAACGAAACGACCGATATGGTCAAAAGATGCACAGGGCCACTTAGGGTGAGTAGCAGTCGAATACACATAGTAGGGGACAAATCTAACCTTAGTAAAAGATTGCCCAGACGGCGTACAGGAGCTTGTATGGCAACCACGGAGTAATGCAGGAATCACTTTCCGACCTCGAGCATCTTGCGTTAGAAGGGAGAGAAGAATATCAGCCATTCGCATCGTATGAAAGCGCTATGTTCCACCTGCACGGATTGGGAACAGCTCCATCCGTGACAAAGGCGGCGGAGTGGCTCCGAAAATCCGCCTCTGCCGGAAGCCTGCAGGCAAAATCCGTCTTGATCTTTCTTCTGACTGCACACGGTCTCCCTGTTCACGACGACGCCATCAGCGCTGACCTTGATGACCTTCTTGAGGCATCCCCTCGATTGAACAACCGAAGGCTCTCTCAATCGCTCTGCGAGCTGAGACCGGAAGCGTATCGCACATCCCTTGAAGGCGCAAGGGCACGCTGGCTAGACCTCCTTGATTCGATTGTCCAGCATGAAATTGTTACTGGCACGTCTTCCGAAGGACAAGAACTGAAAGTGCTTGTTGTTGGAGAGAGAGATGCGAACGGAGTCCAGGAAGGACTTCCTCTGCACCTGTGACTCAGCGACTTACAACAAGCTGTTTTGTTCCAAAGTCTCCAGCAGGTTCGCGACGTCCTCCAAACTGGCGCCGACGTTAACGAAACCAGGATTTCCGGCCACACTGCTCTCTGGTTCGCTTGCAACCGCGGCCAACCTGAAGTGACAAGGGCACTGCTCGACGCTGGAGCATCTCCGGGCATCCCGGATTCACTGCAGGGATACACGCCTCTCCATTTCCTGTCTCGGTTTGATCCAGACAGAATCAGCGAGGTTGCCAGGTGGCTCATCGCTTCTGGTGCGGAAGTTGAAGCCCTCAACAATGCGGGAGAAACACCTTTAATGACCGTCCTCGATGATGAACGGAATTTCGTGCCGTACACAACTGTTCCAGCCGTCAAGGCTTTACTAGCCCTCGGCGCTTCCCCCTACGGTCAGATTCGAGATGACCACGTCCTTGGCGACTCTCGAGTGATATACTTTCCAGATTGCCCTATTGTTAGAGCCTGCGTCCGAGGGGAGCCTGAGGCCCTCGCCACCTTGATAGACCACATCAAGGAACTACGGTCCCTGAAGCAAAGAGGCGATCAAGAAAGTGGGGGACAGGCCGCACGCGGGCCTGATGGTTCGGCGCCGGCACCAAGCGCTGAAATGGATGAATATCTGGCCGCTCTTATGGCCCGATGTTTTTTTCTCACGATTTGCCGACCTGTTCTTTACAGGGTCGGCCAGGGGAGAGAGTACAAACATTCGGTGAGGCAACTAACAAAGTATCTCCTTGTCCCCGAAGTCCGATCGTACCTGTCCGAAAACCTCAAGTCCGCCCTGCTTCAGAGTTGCAGCCAGAGGGCATACGACTTTGTTGAGGCAATCCTCGAGATGAAATGCTACTCCGATGCCGACTTGTCTGATCCTAAGTTGATTGAGTGTGTCTTTGGAAGCAGAAATTCAGAGTTGGTGTCGCGATTGTGGACCGCCGGTATGAAACTCACCGGTGGCACTGAGAACAGTGGCACATTTCTTCACCTAGCCGTCACTCACAGATGGACTGTGGCCGATTTGTCGAAAATCTGCGACCTGGTTCGAGATAAAATAGACCTGTCCGAGCTGGCCCGACGCCACGACTCCCGAGGAGCCACCCCTTTCGCGAGTGCCGTCATCCAAGGGAATCTTGGGCTTGCCGATTTTCTAGCAAGTTTTGGCGTTGATATTGATGAAGAGGCGTTCAGACTGGAGTTAGAAGCATCTCTCTTCGCAGCTATTCCGTTTGGCTGGCCGCGCTGTACCCTTCTAGGATATTGCCTTGTCATGACTGCCGACGATCTCCAGAAGCTTCAGCAAGTCCGCTATCTCCTCAAATACAAGCCAAAGTTCCTGGTCTCCACTTCTCACGGCTGTACGGCCCTGACGCTGTGCTGGAGACACTGGAGAAACCAGCGAAAACGATGTGAGTTCCCGCAGCCTCATTACGGCCTTCCCATTCCCGCTAATGAGCAGAGCAGTCATTTCCCCAGAGCTTGGTACCGCTTTCTCAACCACGCTGCTGGACATGCTCCTAGGCCACTACGCGGGAAAGACGGCCCTGAACCAGCCCGACTACCTCGGAGTCACAGCGCTTCATATGGCCTGTGCCTGCGGGAACCTCGTTGGCGTGCAGCGGCTTCTCGAAAGGGGGGCCAACATTAACGCCATGGACAATGGCAGCATGACACCTCATGAAAGCGTCGGCGATCAACTTTTCATCCTCTCAGAGCAGTCACTTAGCCAGGAGGAGACGCCGTCTTGCCTTGCGGCAATCAACGGTCGTATTGTAGACGCCGACATCGAGTACTACATTTACCTCCGGTTGAGTCACTTCCTCCTCAGCAAGGGAGCGCTGCCGGGGCAAGAGTGCCTGAAAGCGGGGACGGAGAAACCAACCCCAGGGCCGGTATGTGCCTTGAACCCCGCCGCAAACTTGAATCATGAACAAAGACACCTAACATAAGACAGGAATGCCGCCTGGCTGAGGACCATCATCGAGTCAAGAGGGATCTGTGGATGGGGTAGGCATCGCTTTTATTCTGGTTCTTGGCGTCCGAAACTCAGATAACCAAGCTTCACCAGGTACCAAACAAAACTTTCCCGACAGACTGGTGCGGTTCATACGTTCCTTGTGAACCCGCCGATTGAGAGACATGATCTTGGTTTGATGCCGCATTGGTTGGTAGTGCATTCGCCTGACTCGGATGAAGAGACGTTTGCCGACGTGGAAGAAGAAACGAAGACGAGGCGATGGCATCTGGAACGGAAATCCTCAACACGACGGCAAATGTCGGGCTGGACGGCAGCGGAGCGGGGTGACGTTAGCAGCGAAGACGGCGACGACGATGACGACCTCGCACCTGTCAGAATCCAAGACTTTCTGGCCGCACCACGCTGGCGGAAACGAATTCGCGCACACCTGCTACGCAGAGCCGGCAAGAGGCTGCAAGAACTCCGTGTCGTGGACAGCAACAATCAGTGGATCAGTAGCCTGGATATCTTGAAAGACGTCCTTGCGAGAAACCCCAAAGTCGAGACGGGGCTCCGGAGATTGTTGGCGCGTCTCATCGCAGACGCGACCGCCGGCTCGTTGTTTGGAACGGGTCCTGAATCAGTCATCATGAGGGTCAGGGTGCAGTGTCGCTATCTGGAGGAACTGAACGCGGATGAGGATGCCCTACCCATCTGCCTCGAAGTTATCTTGGCAGATCTTCAGCTAGGAAGTGGTGGCTAAACGATCCACACGGGCATCTGACGGGTACAGCTTGCTGCGCTTCCCTTGTCGCATAAGGCAAATCGCTCAAATCAACCTCTATACGGAAGTTTGCAGGAACATAGACGGACCGAGTTTAATGCGTTTGATGGTTGGGGAGGTAACAGTGGAAGGTTAGGGTTACTAAATGTAACTAAGTATCTGCCTAGATCTAGGATTAAAGATAACTGGCTTTTTTATCTAGGTTTGTTAAGGCCTAGATCTGAGATCAAGGACGACCCTGTTATCTGGGCTTGTCAAGGCCGGGATCAATGCTTATTCTACCCTGCCTTACAAGGCGAGCATCCCATTTTCTGGGCTCACAAGCTTCCATCTTCAGCATCCTTTACACCGAAGTGCCAGGCTCATAGGAATATTGAGGGTGCCGTCCGCTCCCTTGTACACAAGCTGCGAAGTGCCAGACTAGTAGTTGGATTGGTGACGACCAGCGAATCCCTGGTGTTGTATGTTCTTTTTTGTCCCTTTTCCATTTTCCTTTTCTTTTTGCCCTTTCTCGCTCTTCGGCGTAACTCAGGATGTGTCTTGTATGTCCGTACAACGGACGACTTGCTTCTAAATCTGCTGGTGTGAGGTGATGTGGGTTATCATGGTAGTGTTGACATCGGAAGTAGGAGTCATCGGAGCATGTCCAAGTACAAGACATCGTGCGTCCATCTTGCCTGTATTGGTAAAATCTCATAGTCACTGAGCAAGAATTAGGAAGAAACAAAAGATCTATAACTCGGTCATATACTAGCGTAGTGATGAACAGACACCCTTACTGAGATAGACACGAAGTAGATAGCTTAAGCTGAGAGTTTTGCGGGATAGATTCGCCCCTCTAGATCCGCAGCAAAACGGATCAATACATTCCTATTATACCCCAGACGAAAGGGATAACAGAGACGTCCCTAATATTCAAAATTCAAGGCGGGGTCGGCCGCTCCTTTATCTCCTTACCAGCAGGAGTTGAAGACTGCGCCTTTCGGCGGTTATTGCGCCTCAAGTTCGATTGTTTTCGCTATTAATGCGGTTAGTCCTTGGTGATCTCAAGGCTCCCAGCGTTTGAGCCAGGTCACCAGGGAGTCCTCGACATGGAATAAGTTGCCGGCGTGGAAGTGACGAAAAGGAAAGTGTAAAGACAGATGGAGAGATGAATTATGACTTGCCTTCCCTTCCTTGACGGGGTCGTTCGCCAAACGAGTAACCCAAGATCCTTGCATTAGGGATTTGAGAATCTTTTTATGAGTCTGGTGGGAAAAAAAAATAGAAAAAAAAGAAGGTATCCGTTAGCAAGGACCGTAGGTCTACTAACACCAACATGGAAGACTACTTGCATCTCAAACTTACTCTTACGCTCTCGCAAATGGCCCTCCATCTCCCGCCGAAGGTATAGAATTCCTCCCAAGTAGCCTCTTCGGTACCAGACCATCGCTTGATCGAAGGTTCTCCTCGCTGGCTCTTGATCGCAGCCTCCTGGGGGTTTGTAAGTTGGGAAGAGTTTCAAAAGGGGAGAAGGTGAGCCTGGTCATATTCCACCCCGTCAGGGTATGACTTCTTCGAAAGGGGATGAAACGCACCAAAACCTCCCAGCAGAGCATTTCAAGTTCAATATCGGCTAGGTCTGCGCCCACCACCTTGGAGAGGTTGCCCCGGGCCCAGAAGGGTTGGACTTTTTTGGAACCCTCGGGAAAGTCGCCAAAATCCAGAATAGCAGCATAGAGCTCAGAAACGCGCCCCTTCTTCTGTTCATCCGTGATGGGTAGAGATGTGTCCTCCGCTACTCCTTCAACTTCATAACGCTCCATGTTAACATAGGCACGGAGAACTTGCTGAAAGTGCTCAGCGATGTGTCCTTGGAAATCAGAAGTCTTTTGCCGAAGCAGGTCCCACAGTTGCGCATCTTGGTGGCTCTTTGGTCGGTTTCCAAGGGTTCCGGGTCTCTTGATGCTTCGCCGCGCGTTTGCTCGAATGTCGTGACTCATTGGGGTTGGAAGTACCGACTGGGCAGGAGTCGTGAAGGTCTGAGACTGGTTGGAGATGTGAGCGGCGTCCTCACCAAGACCGAAGCTATTCTCGGCGTCTGGGGTTGCGATAAGAGAAGCCTTTCTGAATGTATCCAGGAGATCCTCAAGGGCGTCACCCTCGGCAGGAAGATGGAGGCTAGCAGCTGGTCCGAGTGGGAGACACCAAGGCAGCCCCTCCGACGCAATCACTTCGTCCGGCAAAGCGTCTTCTCGTCCAACAAAAGTCAACATTCACCTTTCATACGCGAAATGAAAATAAAACATAAGAAAATAGAGATATAAAACGGGAAGAAAAGAAAGTGAAATTGGAAGTATACCGAAATGGAAATCATTATCCAGCCGCTGGGCAGGCGTCGGGATTGGAGCCGGAGCTGGAAACGGGCTACTACTGAGAGAATGAAGAAAGCCAGCTTCGGAGAAAGTGCCCAACTATGGGTTGTTTCCTGAGAAGAGCTGGCCTTGGTAAGGTCCTGTTGGCTGGAACTGTTGGGGCTCTTGAGAGCCGCGAAGGGGTTCCAAGATGGGGCTTAGAAGCTGAGGTTCCAAATTTTTCTTTCTCCGTTTCGCCTGCGGCTCCTGACTTTCGAGGATTGAAGTTGGGCTGTGAGGAGACTTTTTTCTTTTCTGCGGTGGTGGTGATTCCAGAAAACCCGGGGGCAACGCCGGTTCGAACGCCGTCGTGTCTGCACTCGGCTGCTCCGGTTCGGGCATGGCCTCACCGGTGCGTTGCGATTCCAATGAAAATAGACTCGGGTTCGGTTGCCACGGATGCCGTTGCTCTACCTGCCCAGCAGGAGAAGAAGAAAATGCGAAAGTGGTGGAGAACTGGTCCAGATCTAGAATTGTGGCTTCGGTGAGAAAGTGGTCCCGAATATATAGCTACTCATGGTAATGTTCCATGAACTGAGACGGAAGATTGGATCAGTTGGGGAGTTGGGTTGTACCTTGGCCAGTCGGGGTCGAAGTTGAGGCCAGCTCAGAGTTAGATCCTCCCAGCTGTAAGCGGCCGGAGGGGCCAGGGATGGATCGCCGCGTAGCCAAGACCTCATTCCATTCGGCTTCGGCGACAGTCGGGTCTGGGTTGAACAAGAAGCGGAAGTAGGGCCAGCCATAAAACATAACTTCCTGTCCACACTGGAGATATATATCGATGATATCAAGAATTCTAGAAGCTTGATGGGACCGGGACTGAAACCAGTGATCAATGGCATCTGGATATACGAATGAGAAAGGGCTGAAAATAGAGTTAATAACGCACACATCCACACAAGAAACTTACCAACGATGGAAATAATGCTTTGAGCGTCGGGTGTCAGAGGAGAATCGGGCTGTACACTGTTTAGCAAGTTGCATACGTCGAGTGCTGTATAGTAAGACATGGCGGGTATGTTTGATAGAGGGATATATAAGGGTGAGGGTGAGGGTGAGAATGAGGAGGAGGGTATAGACTGAAGGACTGAGGGAAACAGAATACTTCTTATGAGCTAGAGCTTTATATATATACTCTTCCACCTCCATGCCTAGGCCATACTGTCTTTGCTCGTTTCCTACCGTTTGTCATTGTCCAAGGTCGAACGCGATGGCGGCCCGAAGAAAGGAAGATGGCAGGGATGGCAGGGATGGCAGGGATTACCTGTTTGTCGCTGGCGGGTAAGATGCATTGTGCACTGAGGCAGGCCTCTCCAAGTCCTCCTTTGTTGGCATCTAGCTCCCAAACACCAAGTAGCGGGATCATGGAGTTCGTAGAGCTCGTAGAAGAAAGGAGTCTCAAGTAGGGCTAACTACAAGCAGTGGGGTTGGGCGGGACATCTCTGTAGCTTAACATCTGCAAACGTCTCGTCTTTCCGATATATTCTAGGGGCTACGAGTGTTCTTCGAAAAGGTGTTGTCCGCTGCCAGGATCCGAGCTCCGGAATCAGGGATGGTGACTGGGAACACCGTTTTACAATCGACTTAGAGCTCCGGACTCCTGGTTTCTATCTTAGCAAAATGTGCACTACGAAGTAGACATGCTATTACCGTTACCGTCCGTTACTGTTACTGTTACATTACTGCTGTTGCCATCCTCAATCCCGTCGTGCGGACCGGCCCGGTGCAGCTGCGACCACAGGTGTCAAGTGCCAACGCCAGTGTTCCAATGTTGCTGCATACTTCGTACTCCCGGATTCTGGATGGTGATGAGGGCAAGAAGAAATGACAGCACGGAAGTCAAGGAGCCAAAAAAACCGGGGGCTAGAGCTCAAGCTAAAAATAATTCCCGGCGTCAGAAAGTGCAAAAAGTTTCCCAAAAGGGACATTCCCTGCCTGGACGAGCCAATAACCAGCGTGTCAATTAATTTCTAGTTTAATCCCACGGGGCGCCAGATTCCCGGTTCCTGGCCGCCTCAATCCCGCCAGTGCCAGGGAACTGGAAGCTCAACTCCACGATCCTGGGTTCCATCCGATCCGTTCCCTGTTCCCGGTTTCAATGTTGCCACATGGAAGAGGGATTCTTCTCTTGACACAGTGATGAGGACAAGCTTGACCACGAACAACGAACATTTGATGAAGACTGAGACTGGAGGAGAAAATAGAGAAGAAAAGGCCAGAGAATCAACGAGGACTGATTCCCTAGATGTCTGCTCGTGCTCGCACTGTACGGAACCTTGATGCCAATTAATAATTCTGATTTCGCCATTCAACTGTTCATCGTCCCGATCCCGATCCTTGTTGCTAGATCCAATTAATTCTCTTGGCCGAATTTCGCATCGATTTACCATCAAGACACTTCATCGTATCGCACCTTCCTTCTTGGCCATTTCTCAGCATCCCCTGTATATGTACGAAGTACGAAACACTCAATTGTATTTTCTGAACTGAGTCTTCCTTCGCACGCTTGACTTGGATTGATTTGCAAGCCCACCTCGTCGAGGTTTTTCGTTCTGCGGTCGCTCCGGGCGCACCTAGCCGCCATGGCGTGGTGGGAATTCGAGATCAACCTCCAGCCAACCAAGGAGGAAAAGATAGCCCGCCGCGCAACCTTGGATCGCTACGGGAGATACGCCTTTGCCTCCGCCCTGGCCCCAATTATAGTCATCTTGCTTTTCCGGCTTGCCAGTTGGGCTTGGGCTACTCTATCCTCGCCAAAACCAGCTCCGTACCATGCCGTGTCCGAATCCGAGTCGGCGAAACCCCACGCTAGTCGCCGGAAGCGCGGCACTCTACGTCGGGTCTTCCAAAGGGCAAAGTGGTGGCTTTCCGAGCCTGTGTTCATTTTTGGATGGCTCTGTGGTCAGAGGGATGAGTGGGTGTTTGGTCTTGTTTGGTTCATCTGGCTTTCGGTGTTGTGTGTTCGAGAAACCGGCCAAGGTGAGTGGTGATATTAGTTCCATACATCTAGCTATGTGTTCATATCCGTCTCACTTTTGCAACTTGATTTCAAAGAGTTTCCGACTCTGTGGCCTATACATAGTCTTCTCTAACCTTTTTCCAGACTTCCTCCACCTCACCAAACGCTTCGGCATCATCGCCGTCTCCCAACTCCCCATCCAACACCTCCTCTCCTTCAAAGCCACCAACCCCTACGCCTTCGCCTTCCGCACCTCCCACGAACACCTCAACCGCTTCCACCGCGTCCTCGGCCGCCTCATCTTCGTCTTCCTCTGGCTGCACATGCTCTTCTACTTCAAGTTCTTCTTCGCCGCCGCCATCTTTCCCGCCCGCCTCTTCGAGGCCAACGTGTTCGCCGGCTTCTTCGCCCTGATCGTCTTTCATCTCCTCTATGCTACCTCCATGACTGTTATTCAGCGGTGGTCCTATAGACTCTTCTTTATTACTCATCTGTCTGTTGTGTTTGTTACTCCTACTTTGATCTTTGTCCATGCGAAGCCTGCGAGGATATATATCCTTGCGTCCATCGTGCTGTTCGTGGTTGATTTGATCGTGAGAAAACTCACTACTGCTACGGCCTCGGCTACCGTCGAGATCGTTCCGGGAACCAACCTCGTCAAGATCTCGGCTGCCCTTCCAGAGCCCAAGATCCGCCAGCTCGGCGAGCGACCCGGTTCACACGTCTATCTGAGCATTCCAAACGATGCGAGACCGAAATTCAGCTGCTCATCTAAATCTTTCCCCATTCTTTTCGAGTTTTTATTTAACCCCTTTACCGTGGCCAATGTTGACCACGCTAATAGCGAGCTCACCCTCGTCGCAAGACACATGGGCGGTCCCATGACTGCGCGACTACTGCAGCTTGGCAACGAGAGAGCTGGTAATAATGCTACTGCCTCTGAAACTTTCAAAAGTCAAGTTCCGCTGTCCATCGAAGGCCCCTACGGCACGCTCGCCAAGCATTTCCCAAGTCTCGCCGCTGGACGCGCCGATAGGGTTCTCCTCGTGGCTGGTGGAGTCGGCGCCACCTTTGCGTTTCCCATCTATAAGGCTCTGAAAGCCGACGATCCCGATGCCAACGTCGAACTCGTCTGGGCCGTCCGAAACCCCGACGAAATCTCCTGGGCTCTTTCCCTCTCCGACTCATCAACATCAACACACTCTTCCCCTGAAAATGTAGCATCCATCCTCGAAAACCCCTCCATTCATGTTTTCGTTACAGGCAATAGCAACAGCAGCACATCTCTCAACTCGACCGGCGACGACTACTCGTCCGAGACGACCTCCCGGAGTTCCTCTGCTGATATCCCGCTCTCGGATATGAACAGCAGCGGAAAGGAGCTTTCGAGGGCGGAACGCCAGTTGCGGAGGAGGAAGAGGCCGGATTTGAAGAGGTTTGTTGATGACGCCTTTAAGAGTGGTGGTGCGGATGGGAGGGTCGCTGTGTTGGTGTGCGGGCCGGGACAGATGGGGTTGAGGGTCAGGGAGCATGTTGGCGTTTGGGCGGCCAAGGGTAGGGATGTGTTTTGGCATAACGAGAGTTTTGGATGGTAATTAATGTTCTTTGGAGGAAGAGAAAGTGCAATTTTTAATCTCTAATATAGATACCTACGTGGAAACAGCGGGTTTGGATAATAGAATCTATTCGGCTTTTTATCTTTTGATACCATTGATACACAAACATAGCTTGTAAATTGTGCGCTCGAAGGCGCCCCCGATGAAATGAAAGAATGCCCCCCAATCCTATAATGCGCCGTCCTGTTGTTTTTGGTCCCGGAATATCCTCCCAAAGAAGTAAAACCATCGATAAAAAAGCAAGTTTCATGAAACAAGATGAGAAATGGACTTCACGAAGCAGTCCCAAGCGAACTACCCAGCCAGCCTCTTCAATCCCTCTTCGCATCTCCAATATCACCACTCCCAGCCCCCTTCCCGTTCGCCTTTCCACCCGCATCCGCATCCCCCGCATCCTCATCATCCCAATCATCCAACGCATTCTCATCCCAATTATCCACCTCCTCCTCCAACGTCCTCGAAGAAGGACCCGCACCATCCTCCTCCGACCCATCCACAACCCCACTCTCATGACCCTCCCCTAGCTCCAAATCGGCCTCATCGCTCCCCGGAACGGCATTATACTGCCTCCTCTGCCTCCTCCGCTCGAGCATACGCTGGTGATACCACGTGCATAGGGCCAAAGCCAAAAGACTCCCGACGACGTTGGCGACGATATCGAAGACGTCAAAGCTGCGGCCATTGGGGAGGATGCTCTGGAGGAACTCGGAACCGACGCCGAGGCCGAAGGTGCAGATTGTGAGGGTGAGGTTGAGGGTGCGGCGGCGGTTGGTGTCGATGATCCAGTAGAAGGCGAGGGTGAGGAGGAAGAAGCTGAGGAAGTGGAGGAATTTGTCGTTGATGTGGGTGGTGAGTTGGAGGGGGGTTAGGCCGACGTAGCCGAGGATTAGGAGGAGGGCGAAGAAGACTCCTGGAAATCATTCTATGGGTTAGCGCAAATGGAGCTGGAATGAAATTATGGCAGTAATATAGTAGCTGTTTTATCTGGCGATTTTGAGGGGTTGGGTCGCTGGCCGATGAGCTATCTGGCCTGAGAGAGAAGGGAGCTTCCCACCTGCAAACGGAAACCGTATTCGCATCGTGAATGCGATATGGACTCTGGGCTTTCTAAATTGGACAAGGGTATTTCCGTTCGAAGCGATGGGTCGTCGAGTTAAGCTTACTCGGTTGATAACGAGGTCTTGGAAGAAGAATCGAGGTGGAGTATTGGCTGCCTGAAGGCCTTCATTGTGAGATGAGACACATTCCTTCAAGCTTCATGGGAGGTAATACGAGGTCCACCACGCCGCAATGCACTACGCAACCTCAGTCCACCACCAAGGCATGAAGAAGGTACAATGGTACATGGATTGTCGATGGTCGAACTTCAGGTCACGTGAAATTTCTCCCCATGTTTCCCCAGAACCGCTCCCTTGTACCTTCGTACCCATAGTCAGCAGAGAAGAAGCCCATGCCAGGACAGGACATTGGAGTTCTCCGGAGTCGTCCGAACCTCACTGCCTGAAAGTACAAGCCACTTCAGACGCCAGCAAATGCACCCTGCTGGAGTCGCGTTCGCGAGGAGAAATTCGAAATCGCAATTCATATCTCGGCAGGTGCTGTGATCGCATAGAGTCTAATGTAATAAATATCGCCAATTTACGCATATGCCTACAGCATCCTGTCGCTTTCCGGTTCGCTCAATCGCTGTACTAGTAACCTCGCGTGTTCTGCCTCTATAGCCAGTGCAGCCATTGAGCCGTCTGGTTGTTAACGTTGCCGCAAAAGACACCACCAGACCACTATTACAACCTACGGACTCCAGTGAACCCAAAAAAATAAGTCCCCCCTACCACTGAACAGGAAACCATACCGGTACCATAGTACAAGCCTCTCCAAAATCCTTTTAACCTCACCTCAACGAGACACGCCAAAACGCATCCATCGCAGTCCATCAAACCACCCATCCAACAGTCCTTTTTCGTCGCCAAATTTCATCCTCCATCTATTTCGATGTCGCTCATTCCTCAGATGTCATCGTAGACAACATCCACCCCACCAAACGCCGGCCATCCACGGGCGCATCTCCTTGCGCATGGCGACGGGGCCCTCCTTCCACACACTGTTCATTTTCTCATCAACATCCAAGGGGGGGACTGAAACATGCACTTCCCCAATGGCCAAAACGCATGGCCGCCGCCTACCATGTCGAATTCCATCGGCGCGCGGTCGTCCCAGTCGAAACCCGATGATGCTGCCGCCAGAACGTCGACGCCAGTTGATAACTTCCCCGTGTTGATGCCTGAGGCATCCAACGCATCCGACCTCGAAGACGACGCCCGACGCGCCCACTTCGCCGATCTCTATCGCAAGAGCGAGGCGAAGATTGCGCGGCTCTTCTACGAGGATGGCAGTTACAATGAGGCCGCGATAGCCGAGCTTGAGCACCCCGTACTTGCCCCTGCACCCCCTACCGCCGCCTTGATCCCCGCCACCACCGACCATACCCCTGCACAGGAACCTCCGCGCAAGAAAGTGAAGAGAACCATTGACGAAGATGATTACGATGACGATGAAGATGAGGAGGAGGAAGAAGAAGACAATGCTAAAGCGACGACATCCCTCTCCCACATCAAGGGTAAGAGCGTCGCCGAGGCATCTGCCGCCGCCGCCGCCGCCTCTTTGCTTTCGCCGTCCAAGTCCGATAGTCCGGCTGGTCCTCCATCCGCAACATCTCCTCCTGGTAGCCACGCGGCGGCCGACAAGTCTTCCAAGGATGGCGAGTCCTCGTCCGCCTCCCAAAGCCAACAACCCAAGACGAGCGAAGACGCGCGGAAGCAACTCGAGGAAGCGCGCAACGCCACCGAAGAGGAAGTGCGCAAGAGCTTTCATACCCTCTTTTACACCCTCGAAAACGACCGTACCGCCATGATCGAGCAGCAGCAGCTCGAGGAATCCGAGAAGCAACTGCAAGCCGAAATGGACAACAACAGCCATAATAACAGCAGCGGCGCCAACTCGAGTTCCCAGAACGGTCATGGATCCCTAAGTAGTGCCAACCTCGGCGCCTCCAGTCTTACGCTGAAGCACCTCATCGCCCGCATCGATATGAAGCGTGACCAGGTGCGCGCTTCCGATGCCGAGCTCCGTCTCCTGATGAACGAGGTCCGGAAGAATAGGAGTAAATGGGCTAGTGAGGAGAATGTGAATCAGGAGGAACTGTATGAGGCATTGGAGAAGGTCTTGACGGAGCTCAAGGCCCATACCGAGTATTCTACCCCCTTCTTGACGAGGGTGAACAAACGTGATGCTCCCGATTACTATAATTGTAAGCAACACTTTCATTGCCTCCTCTCCATAACTCACCAAAACTAACAACATACACCTAGTCATCAAACAACCAATGGATTTGGGCTCAATGACGAAAAAGCTCAAGTCTCTCACGTACAAGTCAAAGGCCGAATTCGTCACCGACCTGAACTTGATTTGGGACAACTGCCTGAAATACAATCAGGACATGAACCATCCCCTGAGAAGAATGGCGAACGGTATGAGGAAGGAGGCTGAAAAACTCATCCCCCTCATTCCCGATCTAGTCATCCGCTCGAGAGCCGAAGTCGAGGCCGAGGAGAGACGGAAACAAAACGGAGGAGAAGACGACAACGGCGAGGATTCCGACGACGAGCCCATCATGTCGTCGCGCGGCCGCAAAGCCGGTGCTAAGGGGTCCAACAAGTCTCGCAAGGCGCATTCGAAGAAGAAAGAAGGCACCCCTAACGTCGACCAAAAACCCCATTTGCAGGTAAATGGGATATTGGCCAAGCAAGGCCGCGAGGGTTCCGAGGTCGACGGCAGCGGGTTCGGCACCCCTATCGGCGGATCGGCTACCCCTAGTGGCATCAACGGCCTTTCTCTTGGTGTCGGAGGTGTCGGTAGCAACGGCGACGCCATGGACCTCGATGGCCCGTCTCTTAACGAGATGGCGTTGGGGGAGGCGCTCGGCGAGGCTGCCGCCCAGGCCTACGAAGATGAGGAGTACAAAATCTGGAAGCAGGTCACGAAGAAAGACAGGGCTCTCGTCGCCAAGGAGAGATTCGCGCTGTTCAAGGACAACCACTTGAATGTCGACGCACCCGCCCTGTTAAGATCCAAGGCCGCCATGAGACGGTTCCTCAAGGGACAGAAGCAGGCTGAGAGGCAACAGGCTATCGCGAGCGATTCGCAGGCTGATGCCTCGGGTCCAGCGGTGAATGAACCTCAAACCAATGAGACTCTCGCCGAGGAGATGCAGGGCGAGGAAGTCAGGGTCATTCCGGACTATTACGAACCGTTGAGCCTTGTTCCTGGCGTTACCCCTTCGCTCCGTTGGACGGAGGACGGTGAGGGACAGGTTATCAATCACCACGAATGGTCTCTCAGTCTCGTCCCCCCCGAGCACTTTAGGTCACCGGTTAGCGCGTTTACGAAGAGGATGGAATCGAATATTCGGCAGATTCAGGAGACGAGGAGATTGGCGACAAAGATATCTGTGATTAAACAAATGCAGATTCAATCTCAGGTATCTACCATAACAACGAACGAGCGGAAAAATAATGAAGGAAGCTTTGCTAACAAGTTCGATAGGTCTACGCAAATCAATTCCCAAAATCCAATTTTGATCCTTTCGTGGAGGTTGACGTCGACCAACACTTCATCTCGGACCAAGGTCCAGTCATGGCTCGAGACACATGCCAGGATGCGCTTAAGCGCTCCGTGGGCAAGATCTTGTACCAAGCTGGTTTCGAGGAACTGCAGCCAGCCGCCGTTGACACTCTCACAAACGTCGCTGCCGACTACTTTCAAAAGCTCATACGAACCTTTAACCTCTACCGAGAGGCGGACAAGAAGCCAGCCCCCAGCACTGCCGGTGTCAAGCTCCAGCCGCGGTTCACACCGGAAGAAGTCTTGCTCCACACGCTTGACGAGAACGGTTGCGACATTGCATCCCTGGAGGCCTTTGCGCGAGACGAGGTGGCGCGACTCGGCACGAAGTTGTCGGGCATCCACGATCGCATGAAGTCGCACCTCGCGGACTTGCTCCGACCTGCTCTTCAGGCAGACGCCGGAGCGGATGGTGCTGGCGCCTTCAAAGACGGTAGCGAGCAGTTCGTTAGTGGCGATTTCGCCGAAGAGCTCGGCGAAGACTTCTTCGGCTTCCGCTCGTTGGGTCTCGAAAAGGAGCTTGGCCTCGATACCCTGTCCGTTCCTCTTCACCTGCTGCAGTCCCGCGTGCGAAGCCAATACCAGCAAGCCCAGTCATCGGGCGCCGCGAACGTCGACCTCCTCGACACGCTGCCGCCCTGCGAGCCCGTCACTAAGGAGAACATCCAAGACCAGATCGGCCTGGTCAAGAACTTCTTCCTCGCCAAGCTTCACGCGAACGGCGACCAGCCGCTCGTCGAGGACGAGGACCTACCGCCCAAACAGCGCCGACCTCGCCCGCGCCTGGGCGCCACCGGCAAGATCTCCTCGCCGCAGAAGCGTCCGCTCAAGGAGCAGATTGCGCTGGCGCGGAAGAAGAAGAAGCTCGAGGCGCAGATGGCCGAGGCCAAGCTGAATGCCGAGAAAGGTGGCGGCACCGGCTCGGCGAATACGACTCCCGCCAAGAAGTTGAAGAACATACCGAACCTTAATGGGTCGGGGCCGAATCCAGCGGTGTTGGCGCTTGGTGCGCCGGCGATGGAGAGGGTTGATAGTTTGCAGAGTCAGGGGCATGCTAGTCAGACTGACAAGGATGAGCCGAATGGCATGATGAGCCCGGAAAGCATTGATAGGTGAGGAAGAGGGGGAGGGCTGCAGTTTGACTGACTTGTGTCGTTTTGGCCGATGAAAGTCCAATGCTGCTCTGATCCAGCACCCGGTCATCCCTGTGCTACTACTACCACTATTGTATTGTATTAACGGTTGCTTTGGAGGATTTTTTTGGGCTACTGGCTTTTTCTTCTTCGTCTTTGTTGTTTTCTTCCCCCCCTTTGAAAGAACAATTTTTTATTCAACTCGTTGGCCCCGCCGCAATTTCATACTGGTGATGCCTCTTTTGCGACTCGGGCATATTCCACATGTACTTGGCTACATCTCTTCTTCTCCTCTTTATTTTCTTTCAAAAACATGGGGTTTTCTGTTGATTCCTCTCTTCCGTTTACTCGGGATTCAGACATATATATATCACGAAGACTTTCTTTCTTTCCTATTGGCGTTTTGGCAAAAACAACATTGAGATGAAGGGGGAGTGGGTTTTGTAACATCCTTCGATGCGCGCCTGACTTGTTTTCTACCTCGTTTTTTCTTTTGTCCTCGTTCTTTTTTTTTTCCTTTACTCTGTTTTGGCTTTTTGGGAGGAAGGGTAATTCTCGATGACTTGGCGCCGTGGTTCCTGGCGACCTATTTTATATATCTTATTGTCTTTTTTTTCTTTTTTCTCTTTTGTAAAAGCGAGGATGGATGGATGATGAAAAGGAGACGAGGGGATGCTCGTACGGGAAAAGAAAATGGGTTTGGAGGTAGTTTGAGGAGAGGCAATTGGGGAGAGGAGGGAGCGTTCTTTACTCTTTTTTTTTTTCTTTTTTCTTTATTTGATTCGATTGAAGTTGTTTTTTGATACCGGGTGGCTTTGCACGTTGGCTTTGGTATACCCGGGGGCTGGATTTGAGTGTGAGAGAAACGCGGAGCATGCAAAAGTTGGGAGGAGGGATGAGTCTTCTTTAAGAGCGGTTGTTGTGGAGGAGATGAGGTTTTGATAGAGAGAGCGGTAGTGAACATGAGAAGTATTATTACAATCAAGATGGCTTGAATATTGATTGATGTTTTCCAATTATGTTCAGTTTGTTGATATTCTTTATCCTCTCGAATGAGATTGTGTGGTTCGAGAGTCGACTGATACTACTCGTGGTGTTTACACTATTAACAAGGTCTGCTCGACTGGAGGCTAGGGAATGCTTTCTTTGAAATGGCATCGAGGATGAGGCAAACAGTCTAGGAGTTCCCTCAACTCTTTTTATACAAGTATTAACGTCCATGGGGCATAAAAAGTAGCTAGTCGAGCCGCGGGATTAGCCAGAAGTAGGAATCATCAAAGTGATTCGGTATGCCGCCCAGTTACAGCGGAATTGGTCGGATTGGATGCATCAAAGTAGTCTTGGAGTTCCTGATGCTGGACCTTCCTCTCCGGACGATAAGATTGAGCCCGAGTCTCGATGCGGTTTAGAGTAGAATTGGCCCGAGGTGTAGTTCATGCTTGGTTCCTGAGCTTCCAGGCTCTGTCAAGAAGAGGGGGAGGTATCCTGCTGGTTGGCTGATCGCCTGATCTGATAGCTAGCTGGCTGGCGCAACTTCTCCGATTTGGAGCTCCGAAGCAAAGTCGAGCCGGGCTTACACGATACAAGAGGCGGTATTACCTCCAACAAGGAGCTGGAGGAATAATTGGAATATATTCTTGAGATTGAGATGTTGTTGAGTGAAGATGGAATCTGATGAAATAAGCAATAAACCACAGAATAGGACTGCTGCGAGCTTTTCCGACATCGCATCGCCGAGTCCATTGTCCCCAGCCCAAGTCATGTTCAACCTCGCTTGGGCGAAGGAAGGCGAGTGGATCGTTGAGGCAATTGCGTCACGAGGACTCTAGGCCATCACCCATCCTCCGACACAGTGCTTAGCTCCGCGATAACTCGTCTGCTTGGCAACCTTTTGGGTGGTTGCTTGCCACACCTTTGTGGCTCCCCACAACACGGACACACGGACGGTCCACTTGTACAACTTGTGTACCGAGATACTTCAAATTAATCGTGTGACTCAAGCCATAACACATGTACACGTAACATCAAATTAATCCCCATTGACAAGTCTTGGTTGTTGCCCCCTCCCCGAAACAGCCCAATCCCTGGTCCCTTGGTACAGGTGGCCTGCAGCAGTGGTACCTGCTGTTTATGCTACTGCCTATTTGACGAGCCCGGTTCCCGCTCCCCCCAGACCGACCGACCTCTCCATTTGATCCATCGTCGTCATCCCATCTCCTCCTTCCATCACCAAAACACAACAAAGGACCTGGACCCCGTCTTCGTCCCGATCGTGTTTCCCTGCTTGATTCATTTTGCATCCATCCCTAAAGATCGCATCAGCTAGATCTGCTGTCTTTTTTCTTAATTAAGAACCCAGGTGCCAGGCCTTCGTTCTTTTTTAGTCTCCGCTTCGCCTTTTAATCCCGTTCGCTCCGCACGTTTCAGAAAGCTCGTCCGATTGCGCTACCGCCAAGATGAAGTCTGCTCTTATCGCCGCAGCTGTGCTGCTCGGCTCCTCGCAGGCTGCCGTCCACAAGATGAAGCTTGAGAAGGTTCCCTTGGAAGAGCAGCTGGTATGTTGTTATCTCTAACTCGGATGACAGTTCCTGTCTAGGCTCCAGAGCTTCCGACGCTGACCGAGGGTATCTACATTTCGTACAGGCTAGTACCCCGATTGAGGCTCAGGTCCAGCACCTCGGCCAGAAGTATATGGGCGGTGCTCGCGCTGAGATCCACGATCATCTCGATGCTGTATTCAACACCCAGGTCCAGGTACCTCAGGGCGGCCACCCCGTCCCCGTCAGCAACTTCCTCAACGCTCAGTGTATGTCTGACCTATTACCTCTTCGCTTCCCAACCTATTTACAATGAAGTGGCTAACTTTCCTCTTCCTTTCCTTCACAGACTTCTCGGAGATCACCATTGGAACTCCTGCCCAGAACTTCAAGGTTGTCCTCGACACCGGCAGCTCCAACCTTTGGGTTCCCTCCGTCAAGTGTGGAAGCATTGCTTGCTACCTCCACAGCAAGTACGACTCGTCCGAGTCCTCGACCTACAAGGCCAACGGCACCGAATTCGAGATCCACTACGGCTCCGGCAGTCTCTCTGGTTTCGTCTCCCAGGATGTCTTGACCATCGGTGACCTCAAGGTCAAGAACCAAGACTTCGCCGAGGCGACCAAGGAGCCTGGTCTTGCCTTCGCCTTTGGCCGCTTCGACGGTATCCTGGGTCTTGGCTACGATACTATCTCAGTCAACCGCATGGTTCCCCCCTTCTACAACATGGTCAACCAGGGCATCATCGACGAGCCCGTGTTCGCCTTCTATCTTGCCGATGAGGAGGGCCAGAGCGAAGCCATCTTTGGCGGTATCGACGAGTCCCACATCGATGGAAAGATCACCTATATTCCTCTCCGCCGTAAGGCGTACTGGGAGGTCGATCTCGACTCCATCGCGTACGGTGACGAGGTTGCCGAGCTCGAGGACACCGGTGTCATCCTCGACACCGGCACCTCACTCAACATCCTCCCCTCGTCTCTTGCTGAGCTTCTGAACAAGGAGATGGGCGCTAAGCGCGGCTATAATGGACAGTACACCATCGAATGCAGCAAGAAGAGCGAGCTCCCCGACATCACCTTCGACCTCGCCGGCAACAAGTTTGCCCTCGGCCCCGACGACTACATCCTCGAACTCCAGGGTAGCTGCATCTCTACCTTCCAGGGCATGGACTTCCCTGCTCCCACCGGTCCCCTCGCTATTCTCGGAGATGCGTTCCTCCGCCGATACTATTCCATCTACGACCTTGGCAACCACCGTGTTGGTATTGCTAAGGCGAAGGCGTAGATGAGAGAGAGAGAGAGAGTGAGCGTTGTACTATTTTCTTTTGTAGAGAAAGCATGTGGTCTTTTTCTTTTGTTTCTTTTGGGGAGAGGACGAGGTTGTTGGCAACGTGGTGTCGACGGTACATGTTGGCAAGAACGCATAAGTAATCAATCTATATCCGTGGGGTAGCGGGCAAATTTGTCGATGGCGAGGGAAGTGCTATTGTAGTGGGAAGGCAAGGCAATAGGACCAGGGAGATTATTTCTACTTTCGTGTCTTGAGCGGATTGTTTGCAGAATATCACTACATGTCACTCCACTGCCGCCGCTGCCATTAGACGGGTCCTTGGCTGATGGCAAGTGTTCTTGAGTGCAGCGTCCTGAGCATGGGATAGTATATTGGGTTCATCGGGATAGCATTAGGAATTATTTGATCACTTCTACCTTGTTTTGCGCCCCTTCGTGTTTCTGTCCGTGTTGTTTGTATATGCGTGCGAATGTTCCTTCTGTGATTTTGGACGCCGAATTTAATCGGAGCTGAACTTCTCAGGCTCCTCAATAGAGAACTTGCGTAAATCTAGAGAAACTTGAGCTTGCGTTTGCATGTGAGGACGGATGACAGCTGCGACACCCCGACGTCGCCTGTGATTTGTACGAGCTGTGCTCTATGCTGTTTTTGGATCAGGACTTGGTCTGGGTGAGACATCAAATTTCTGAGTTTATCCCCAATCCCTGTTCTCTCTGGCAATCAATCATCAATCCTCCGGCTCAACTAGCTTCGAGCTGCATCGGAGATATGATGACGCTGGGCCCCAGTTTATCCCGAGCCTAGAGATACTCGGAGGACTCCCTCTGTTTGGAAGTTTATATGATGTTTCCACGCTAAGGCTTGTTCTACTCAAAGCTTGAGGTCAAGGTGTAATGGATCCAGGCCCGTCTGACGGAGCGTGGGGAGAACCAGAGTGATTCTGGGGTGGCTTTATCGACTCCCATTTGAAGGCAGGATCGATGTGCAGCGGAGCATTGACGATAACGAATCACGTGACCAATACCGCCTTTCCCTTCCGAAATAGGATAAGTGCAGAATGGCAGAGGTACATCCGGTAGTTACTCGGGCCAAGCAGAGAGGAAGGTACCGTGTACCCCCATCAGCCTTCCCTTCTCAAGTGTCCTTCCCTCTGTCCCATCAAGTGATTGAATTTTACTCTCCCTGTTTTTTCTCACGTTTTTTTTTTTTTTTTTTTTTTTTTTTTTTTTCATCAGCTGTTGGGAGGAGACGGAAATCTTCTGTCGAAAAAATCAAAAGAAAAGAAAGCTGCATCTGTGGTTTTTTCCTTTTGTGTCTCGTCTTTCTCTTTTTATCTCTTTCAAGCTTCGCCCTCGAATTCGACGCCGTAGTCCGACTTCGACGCTGACTTCCAACGGCTGCGGAGCCCTTGTTTACTTCCCTCGCCTAACAATTTCCCTATCCTATTTTACTGGCACCTGTTAGCGGGTACATTTCCCATCCTAACAGGGGGGCCATCTTTTTTTTCCTCCCTTCTCCTCAGACGGGACCAGAATTCCAGGCCAGATTTTCCAGCCTGCTTTTTTGAGTGAGTGCACCTCTTCAATCCCTCAAGTCAATTGCTGGTCCCCTCTGCACGCCCTTGTTGCTAGAGTTGAGCCTACCATCAACCAACTGGAGCTACGCGTGATGCACATCGCCTCTCCATTGATGCAGTCTTAACTAACCAACGACAATAGTCAGCAATCCGCAAAACCCCCCCTCTACGACTGGCACTTTCCCAATTCCAAAAAAGCCAGCGCGTCGCGAATATCCTCCACGAACAGGAATCATCACCCCGTACCTTCCTCCAGCAATAACAGCTGCATTCGTTTCCTTGTTTATTTCTCTTTATTATCCTCTCCTCTATTGCTTCTTAATCCCCTTTCCCACCCCGATCCCATTCCCGATCCAACCATAGACTTGGACCAAACAACCCAGTTTCTTTTTTTGCCCCATTTTTTTTAATCCATCTCTCTCTGTTGCGAACACGGATCCATCCATCAAAGAAGGATCGCTCCCTCGACCGGACCCATCCCGTCGCGCTTTATCGCCCAAGTCCGCCAAAGCGTCGTCGGCTCGAGTCTATCGAACCGCGAACGAGAGACCATGGCGCAGCCAGGGGTGGCCGAGGTAGCTGGGCCTACCACCCACGACTCGGTCAAAGTCGAGCATCAGCCGTCGCCCGCGATGCAGCCTCTCCAAGCGCCGCCGCAACACCAGGCTCAGCCACAGCCTGCCGATCAGTCTATCGCTGTCGCCGTCGCGAACAAGAGGAAACGCGATGAGGATGCCGAGGGTGGACCTGTTACAGAAGGCGACAAGGCTCCCAATGGCACGCCTGCACCTGTCGTGAATGGAGGTGTTCAGCAACTGAAGAATACCAAGGAGGAGATTGAGACCTTTGTGAAGTTCCTCCAAAAGTATGTTCCGTTTTTTTCTTTTTTCTTTTAAATATCTCCCTTTTGCTTTTGCATAGTTCAGTCTTCCTCTTCCTCTGTCCTGGACCTGTATCATTATGGTTTATCTACATTGGTAAATCTTTGCTTCTGGGCCTAGCTATCAAATTCTCAATGCCATCCATCTCCGCTCGCGATCATTCCCTCTTTGGCTACTTTTTGATCACGATTGCAGCCACATTTCACATTCGAACCTTTTGCTAACCTTGCCTCCTCTTCATTTAGATACGACCTCGACCCTTCTATCTTTACCACAACCATACCCGCCCCCAAACCCGATGACGTGCACCTGGCCAAGCGCGCCAGATCGGAAGACTCGGCGCCCGCGTCTGAAACCATATCAGAAAAGGTCTCGCGTGGAGAATACGCCAGTATTGTGGAGTTATCAAAGGATGTAGCCTTAGTCGCTCGATCTCGAGTCACAGGCTCGCCTTCTCCTAACCAGGTGCAAGCCATTGTGCTCCTCCATGATCAATGCCAAAAGTACTGCAAGCGAGAAATTGCGTATCCCCAGGCTCGACCTATTGCAGTGTCCCACCCAGCCAAGCAAACCGTCTTGACCGTTCCATACCCTGGCCGGAATGAGAAACAAGTTATTCTTTTCTCAAGCCCTATTCCCACGGCTTCGTCGTCGGACAGGACGGATGCTTTCGTCAGCCGACTTCCACCTGGCGTCAAGTCCACCGTCATGGTCGGAGGCTTGAGCGAAGCCGAGCTCAACGCCGCGGATTCGACCACTAAGTCTCTTGGCGATACTCTCCCCGCCCCGAAGAACCGCGTGCCGCTCCTACCATCAGCGACTAAGCAGGCGCAGGCCAAACTCAATATCAAGGAGAACGTTCTGGGTTTTCAACAGCCCAAGTTCGAGAATTCCTGGACGAAATGGCCTAATGCGTATCCCAACCAGCCACTCTCTGTGGGCCATTACCTTGATTACACCAAAGCAACGGCAGAGTCACCGGTCAAGACGAAACAGAGGGAGAGGGCGCAGAGCCTTGCAGGACACAAGCCTTCAACTTCGGAACTTGAAATGTCCGAAATGGAGTCCCTTTTCCGCACCGCCTTTTCTAGCTTCTCTCCGTCGAGAGATGATTCCGGCGCCGTGATCCCCTCGAGCCTTGCTGGTCGGATCTGGTGGCAACAAAAGGGGCAATTCGACTTTTACGATCTGATCCCTGCTAGATATTGGCCAAAGCAGGATGAGGGCGACGAAGCTGTCGAAGAGGGTGGTAAGGTTGTCGACAAAGCAGCGGAAATTGAGATTGATCCCGCGTTGATTGAGTCTATCATCGATGAAATGAAGGATGGCGATGTCGCACCCGGTGTTGTTGGACCGCCTCCCTCGACGACCAAGACCGCTGAGGAGCAGGACGTAGAGGACCTATTGCGGGAAGTCGACGATCTCATTCTTACGCTCGCATCATTCCAGCACATCCGGAATATTAGCAAGTCGGTGACGTCGACGAACCGCTTGGCCGTTGGCGAGCCCGATATGCTCACGAATAGCCAACTCCCTCCGCCATCAGATGAGGAGCTGGCGATTTACGAGACTCTGAAATCCCTCCTCGCTTCCATCGTCAGGAGTTTACCTCCCTACGCAGTTGCGAAGCTAGACGGCGACCAACTTAATGACTTGCTCATTAGCCACAGGGTCCCTGTTGAGCTGGAGGAGTACCACGGCATCATGGCTGAGGACGAGGCTGCGGCTCAGGAGCGCCTTCGTCAAGAAGTCCAGCACAAGATGCAGCAACAACAGCAGCAACAGCAGCAGCAGCTTCAACAACAGCAACAGAAGATGCAGCAGCAGGCCGCTAGTGCTAGCCGTGCTCCCGCCCACCGAGCGGCTCATACCCCAGCTCCGTATGGCACCCCATACCATCCCAATAACCCCCAGTTCTCCCCTCATCCACAATCGCGGACGCCCGTACAGCCCCCTCAGTATTACAGGTCTGCTTCCGGCCACCCTGTGCCCACCCCACAAGCTCAAGCCGCCGCGCGTCCTGCACCGCCCCCGCACCCGTCGCCATCCCAGCACCACCTTCAACCCCAGAGGGCGATGAGCCAGCAGTATCGCCCCAACGGCTACACTGCCCCGTTTGCGCCACAACTGGCCAAGACGCAAACGCCTTATGGCCATCAGGGAATGCAACAGTATGCTCCTAACCAGCAGCGGCCACCTCAGCCCAACCCCGCAGCATACGCCGGTGCTCCCCAGCATCGAAGCCCCAATGCGACGTTTGCGACTCCTTACCAGCAAGCTCAACCATACGCAGCCCAGCAGCAGGTGGCCCGAGGCGCAGTCCCGGCGTATGCCAACTACCCCAATGGCGCGGTCCCGCAGCGTACCGCATCCCCTCACGTCCCCCACCAGCCGCAGGGCTACGTCCCTAACGCTTATCCCCAACATCAGGCCCAACCGCAGCCCCAGCGATACGGAACACCCGTTCAGCACGCGATGCCACCGAATGCTCACCGCTCCCCGATGCCCCGTGCCGCTAGCCTCTCCGGAACGCCGCACATGCCAAGCGCGGTTGGCACAGCTCCTGGCCTCACGGGCTATCACACGGTGATGCCCGAGAGTCAGCAACAACGCATGATGGAGCAAGCCAGGGTTCGAGCGGCAGCACGGGACGGCACTTCTGGTGCTTACGCCTCTCCCATCGCAGGTCTTGCCGGGATTGGACTGGGAGTCGCTCAGGGTGTGAACCGATCTCCGGCGCCGGCGCCCGTGCGGCCCAACATGCCGGGTGCGCCTCTTCAGCCCGTTCCGGGCGCTGCTATGCAGCGAGGAATGCTCAATGGCGGGGCGCAAGGCTCGCCGAGCCTCCAGCCGCAGATCCCAGCCAAGGTGTCGCCTGTACCCGTGCCGGTTATCCCGTCCGCCCAACGCCCTCCGTCTACGCAGCCCGGACAACAAGTCGACCGGCGACAGAGCCAGACTCCGCAGCCGGCCCTCCCACCATCTCTTCCGCAGACAGACGGCCCTGGTGATGCGAGCGATCGAGTACAGACCCCACAAGCCAGTAGGGCATAGGCCGCCCCTGGCTTGATCACATTCTACATCTATCCGCTGGGTGATGGACGCCTGCACCTGTCGTACCCTGTTCGAGTGCTCGGTCATGAGGATGGCAGCTGGGAGTTCTTCATCGAGCCGTCCTTCGTCACTACATATCCTCAACGACCTTTGACCCATGAAGACGCCCCCTTGCACGTCCCGTGTGTCTCGCAATTATTTGGACGCCGAGATCTCGTGAAGGCGAGCAAGCACTCCCGCATGTACCGGGTCGACTACTTTGGGTATTTGAATCCGGGACGTTCCTACTACTATGATCCACCCTCCTCATATTACCCATACGCACAGTCGGCATACAAATTCGACTTGTACGCACATCATAGGGTAATCACGTCCCCCTCGTCCCTTATGGAAGTGCAAGCGATCCCTCGTCATTATTACCTCAATGCGTTTTCCGGAGAGAATCCTTACCCCCCGCCTCGTCACCCATTTACCTTGCCTCTGTCCTGGGCGGAGCGGCGACGATCGGCTGAACGCGATTGGAAAAAAAGGAACATTGACTTGCAACGCGATTTAGAAAAGCGCTATTGGTGGTGGGCATGGCATTCAAAAATGACTCACCGATGTTATATGCCCATAGAATTTGAACTTACTGCTGCTGAGATGGAGGGGTTGTATGCGAAACCAACCGGGTTAAGCCCGCTTGTCTACTATACGGTTCATAATTCCGACCGTACAGGCCGGGTGTGGGTCCTGGATGCCTTTCCTCGTCCAAAGGCCGAATCTCTGCTTGGTGAATTGTGGGAGCCGTCCGCTCCCGAGCAGAGGGCGTTCTGCCGGGCGGATACACTTCCGCCCATTCCGGCTATTAGTGGCAGCCACACTAGTCTAGCAGGCCGACGTGCTCTTCTTGCCTCGAAAACCAGCAAGGTCTTGGCGGGATCAACAAGCGCAGGGACCGGGGAAGGCAGCAGCACGGCGCCCAGAGCTTCTGCTCGTAACGAGGCAACGAATCTTGCACATCGGGATCCTGCTACGAATCCAACGCCCCAGGCTCAGGCTTGGCTTCAGGCTTGGGCTCAGGCTTGGACTCAGGCTTGGACTCAGACTCAGGGTCGGGCTCAGGCTCCAGGTAGCTCTGATTATCAGGCCGGCCGGAGGTCGGGATCTCCAGTCCCGTTGGAGACACCTCCGCCTCGTTTGGGCGGGTGGGCTGACCCAGTGTCCTAATGCGCCATCGCAGCTCGCGTCACCGCAACTCACGGGGCCAACGCAACGACCCAGCCGGGCTTCGGGAAGGGGAAGGCTTCGATCGGCTCAGACGAGCGCCGGGCTGACTTTGAGGCCTTTGACGCGGCGATAGCGAGCGTCTTGCCTCTCTGTAGTAGGCTTCCACCGGCGCCTCAGACTGCACCGCTGTTGACGACCAAATCCGCAGTTCAGACTGCACCACTCCCGACGACCCAAACCGAGCAACCGTCTGGCGGGGACGCTACCGGCTCATCCAGCCAGGAGAGCCCTCAAACATCGTTGCTGACGTCCCCGAGACGCCAACCTGCGGCTCCGGTTGCTAAACCAGACGATCAGAAGAAGACCAGGACACCACTCCCGACTTCCCCTCGACGCAAGCACCCGGCGTCGTCCCTTGCCACCGAGGCTAAGCCAAAGGCTCGGACACCACTTCCTCGTGGTCCCAGGCAGAAGTCCTCTTCGGGGAGCAAACGCAAGCAGAATAAGAATGAGGAACCTGAGCCTCAGGAATCACGAAAGGATGATGGTCAAGGTCTTCGTAGGAGCAAGAGACTACGAAAGTGAATTGAAAAGAACGGCTGAATACTGAAAGATTAGTCACTTGTTGACTAGATCTTGTTGGTATCACCCCGACTCCTTGTTCCACCTCATTTTCCTTGTTTTAATTTTCACATTTTTCTCCAATTTGGAGAATGGGAGTGGCGTTGCACAGTTGGTGGTTTTTACATTTATATCGTGGTTTTGGGGGCATATAGCTCTCATACATCACCTTGAGCATGCCTTCTTAAAGGCTTTTCTCATTGTGAATCTCTTTCTCACTACAAATTCTCTACCTATGCACTGCATGGTGATTTTGTTTTCTTCTCAGGGAAGAAAGAAGACATACACCAGGGCGATAGGTATCAGGGTGTGTTCATGTTGGACAGCGGTTCCAGTTGGGGTGGGGGGATATTGTGGAATCATGGGGATTTGTCTGAGTGTTGTTGAATAAGGGAAAAGTCCTTTTCTTGTGAGAATTAGAGAGATCAATGGTTTTTTTCTGACCTGCTTTCCTTTTCTTTTCTTTTTTTCTTCCTTTTTGTACTTGTTAATAGGGATCTGGGGATAAGGGATAGGGTTCCAATTGTTCAAATGTTACACAAGTTCTTTTTTTCTGAACCTTGTTTTAAGATTTCCGCTCTGGGCTTGATGTGCTTTAACAAAACCAAGAGACAATATGACGATTCCCAGCTCTGGTAGAAGTGTGGACTGGGAATCTCCCATGTCCTGAGTTGAGTGGTCTATTCATAAACTTATTCCCATCTATATGCGTCCTGAATACAAATACAATCTAAGGTACAATCCGTCAAGTCGGGACGGGTTCCATATCAAAATCATCAACTACCACCTTCAGGCAGCAGCGGCAGGGGTAGAACCAGCCTCGGCGGCCTTAGCCCTCTGCGCCTTGTGCTCCTTCCACTCCCTCCTCAGCTCAAAGACGACCTCAACAGCAATCAGCAAGATGATAATGACCTCAAGCCTCGTATTATGCCTCTCGCTCGACATCTCCCTCAGTACGCTCGCAATATCCTGCGCATAATCAAGCCGCTGATTCAACGTGCGTATCCTCACATTAACGTCCAGAGCGCGGCCGACCTGGTCGTAGTATCCCTCGAGGCCTAGCTCCGACCGGCTATCCCAGAAGATGTCGGGTAGGGAATCGGTAAGTTCGGAGTAGTTGTTCAAGCGGGCTGACAAGCTGAGCAGCTCGCCGGTCTTTTTGTGGATGAAGGTGCGAGAGAGGGGAAGGCGGGAGCCCTGAGAGAGGATGGAGGGGATGGAGCGCGTGTGTTCGAAGTAGGAGGCTAGATCGGCCTCGAGGACGGCAAGTTTCGTGGATCGGGCGAGGCCTGAGGAGAAGGCTACCTTGGCGAGGGTGGTGTTGAGGCGGGACGATTCAGGGGATTCTGGGTCGGCGGGGCGCGTGCCGAGGACGACGAGGTCATCTTTCATGAGGCTTGTGTCGCGCGTCGGGTCGCAGACGTAATCGAGGTCTTCGACTTCGCGTCGACTAGCTTCGTGCGGATCCTCCGCCGCCTCGAGGAGGTAGCGGGTTACTTCGTCTGTGGTGATAGACCAGGCGACGACAGTGCCCGAGGGGAAGACGAACACGTCGGCGCCCGTTCCGGGATCGCGCGCGTGTACTACCTCGGCGGCTTCGAAGCCCGTGCCATCCGGATCGATTTCGTAGCCGTGAGCCGCGAGGATTTCGGCTACGGCCGTCATGTTGAATCCCTCTGCGACGCAGACGGCGCTAATAAGTCCCGGCGCCGAGGAGTCGCCATCTTGAGCGGTAGCCGGCACGCGGTGCGTGGGTTGCTGTTGCGCGATTATGGCTACGCGGCGGAGGGATTTCTTGACGCCCGTCGTGCGGGCCTTGCGCTTGGCGGGAGTCGTTTCGCTTGCGCCTCGCTCTGCGGTGCCTTTATTATTCTGGAGGTAGACGTTGGAGGTGAAAAAGTCCCTGCGGCGGGGTAGCATGAACGCCGGGCTCGGGTGGAACGATCGCCGTAGTCTCGCGCGGGGGGTGGACGAGGTGGTGCTCGTCGTGAGCAGCGGTCTACAGGGACATGTGCTGGGGAGGAGGGCGCGGTGCGTTATCGAGGGACGAGTTACGGTCGGCCAGGGGGCCATCCTTGCTGAGGGGATGCGCATGGTTGACGGGTTGGTGCCATTGAAGGGGCGAAGAGCCGGCCCGAGACGTTTTGGTGATGAGGGTTTCTGGAGGGGGAGTGTGAGTGGTTCCAGATCTTGGGCGGATGAGTGGTGCTATTGGCCTTTTTACAGGACTTGGCGTCGGAGCTGGGATTTCTCGGCCACCGCGGGATGTTCGCTTGGGTTTCGGGAATGAGTTTTAGGTTATCTTATCGGCACGTGATGTTGAGTTGGCTCAGGGGAGACTTGTTTGACAAGCTCAGCTCCACCGCGGAGCATCACAGTGTGGAATTGTAAACTAGAAAGCTCGATTTCACAATCGACGCCGTGGCAATGTAATTAAGGCGTCACGAGTCCTAGTCCCGCGTTCGCAGACAATGCCATCTTCCCCTGGCGATGATGCCCTAGACAAAGCTGCTTTCGGCCCGCTGCTTTCTATTCCTGAAGCCTCTCTGATTCAACTAGCAATCAACATCAGATTTCGAGTCTTCTCTTCCGAGACGTCGAGAGCTACACTCAACGCTCGTATAGGCGGATCGTATAACCTCGTCCACATTCTCCAGCTCGACAACCTCAAACTCGTGATACGTGGGCCAGCTACAGGATGGGGAGATGGTATGACTGATGTTGCGGCACGAGCCCTCGAATCTCAAGTTACAACCCTGCGTCTCATCGCAAGCGAGACGTCAATCCCAGTTCCTAAAGTCCTATCATTCGACGCTACCTGTGAAAACGCCATCAATGCCCCGTACCTATGCATGAGCTTCTTGCCGGGCTGCAGTGTGTCTAAGGTCTGGTTTGACACCACGGGCCCGATCCCTCTCGAGGAGAGATGACTGAGGATATTGAAGTGTCTCTCCGAGTGCATGGCGCAGTTGTCGCGATTCCGCTTCCAGAAGATTGGCTCGCTGCACGCAATGGAAGATGGATCAAGTTCCGTCGGTCCATGCTACGAGTATCGTGGAAATGATGACGGCACCCTTCGCGCTGTGGCATTCGGCCCGTTCGACAATGCGGCTGCCTACCTCAAAGACCGGAGGGCAGAGGGTGAGACGAAAAGCGTGTGGGGAATCGCGAAATCAAAATTGACAGATTTCATGACCCCTTTCCTCCCTGGTTATGATTCTACAGACGGCTTCGTACTTGCAGGCTGGAAATATGCCGGAAGTTGGTGCAAGCTGTTGTAGACGAGGACGTCGATGCGCTGGATGTTCTCTATGACCTTGGCGATGACTGCCTAAGTGAGGATGAATGGACTGCGCTGAAGAGCAAGTTAGAAAGACTTATAGTTCTGAGTGAAGCAAAACTGCCGTAAACTAAGAAATCTGATCCGTAACGCAACGATTCACGGCTCCAATCGGATCTGCTATTAGTGTGCCGCCATCTTCGTTTTTCCATGCAGTACTAAGCCCCTAAGATAGACCAATGCATTGATGTACAGAAAATTTTCCAATTGCCTGAGATCAATTGATCATCCCGCGCCTTGCTTCGTCGACTGAAGGGTACGAAAATGGCACCGCTCGGCTCGGGATTATGGAGGTGGTTGATATTTCGTTATCTTATCGACACGTGACCTTTAAACTTTTACCTTACAAGCATTGACGAAGGTACCTATGTACATTGCGCTTAACTTTTCCATCTTGGCAAGCTCGGAGGCATTTCCTTGTCCACCCAATCTACGAATAGCGACAAAACTTCCCGGCTTTGTTCCTCGTGATCAGCGAACTGTTTCCGCTATTGCGTCGCAACTGAAGCATCACCGCCAGATGTCTCCCAGACTCTGAGGACGCCACCGGAATCGGACGGATGCTTCTGCGGGCGCTTTCTCGAGTTGGCAGCCAGAGGTCGCCTTTACTGAGGCGCCGTGCCGGCGTACATGGCTTGGTAAGTTTTAGATGACGGCTTATAGCACCCGGGCTGAATCGAATATTCATTGATTGCCTAGGCCCCTGTGCTAACCCAATTCCTCCCCCTCCTAGTCAACGACCCCGCGACGAACCCAAACCCGTTCGGCGAATACCGCAGCGGCCGTCCTCACGCCTTCCGGAGATCGATCAGCATGGAACCAATTTGTAGCGTCAGGAACCGAACGTGTGTCAGTGAAGGGTGGGACGACCTCCAACCTGTTTTCGAACAGGAATTCCGCACCCGGTTGGAAAGCCAAGCTAGCAGCTCCGAATGAGCTTCGTAAAGACTTATGGGACCGCCGCAAACCCTCCAAGAGCAAGAAGGCTCCGCCTCACGAGCATGGAAATGAGGCCTCTTGGGAGAAAAAGAAGGAGAAAAAGAAGACCCAACGGGCGCCAAGGATCTTCGAGAAGCAGGACCGCGGCGGACTAGAAAAGGGGGCCGACTGCAAGAAAACCCCGAGTTCCATACTCATGCGCCTTCTCGACAACAACGGAAAGACCTTGAGCGACGACGAATTTACCAGCACAGCGCGGTTTATCCACCATTACCCACGACTCAGGTTACCCGTCGTACTTTCGAAGCTTCTCCTCGCCAGGGATGAACGGTTCCATAAATACAAGACTAGGGAGGAAATTCTGGCCGAGGCAGAAGCTGGCTGGTTCTGCCGTACTGATGTCGAGCAGTGGGAGTGGATAATACAGGGGCGCAACTCGGATGTCATAGCCGAGCGATTTGTTTCCTCCGACTCTGTGCACCCGATATCGCTTCTAAGCCTAGTGCTGCGGCCAAACGCCGTCTTTACCAAGAGGTCCTCCCTCGAAGGCTTGCTGAGGTATATGGCAAAGTGGCATGCAACAGGCGATGGCTCCTTTAAAAACGGCGTCCAGCCCGCCGCATTCCTGATTCCCATGCGGAGATTTGCCCTCCACTGTTGCAGGGTATGGCCCGATCTCATTCCGGCGCTCGCCCGCGTTGCGGCAGCACACATCCAAGACAGCATTCCAAACGCCCTACCGAAGAACAAAGTCTACAACGAACAGCGGAAAGCCTTCAACGAGTATCTTCAGATGTTTGCCTCGGCACCGGACCGCTCGGGACGTCGATACATGGAGTTTATCTGGGAGGCTCAGAGGGTCCTTCTTGCCATGTCGAACGGGCTGGAGCGGCCGCTTATGCTGGAGAAGAAGAGTTTCGATGCCATTCGTATTGTGCTCGTGGGATTGGAGAAGACGCCGATCGAGCGTGATGAAGCTACGAGGTGGGGGAAGACGTGGCCTCCTTTCAAGGTCATTCGGGATGGTTTGGATGAGGTGAAGGATGCAGGCGACGACTTTACTCGGGCCGTTAAGGCGGGTCTAACGATGGAAGAGGCCGGCCATGCGAGAGAACCAGTGGATGCTGTCATTGATACTCTTGCGGGTGTAGCACCGGATGGGTCGCCTACCATACAGACCCGTGCCAATTTGGCTGGGTTGGTACGCCGCAAAGAGGGCAAGATAGGCGCGGAAGAGGTATGGGCAACGCGGGTTCGCACGACCAGGAACCCGCATGAGGCGTGGACAGCATTTCAGCATCCGCCGGACCCGTCGTGTCGAAGAAACCACCAGGTGTATGGTGAGCTGTTTGCGAAGTTGACAGCCAGGACGCCCGAAAATGAAGGTTATCTCCCGGGGGACGGTCGACATGTGGTGGAGGTGCATATTCCAAATTTAAGTGACTTTGAGAGGGCTAGGATTCAGCCGCCTACGGTCACACAACTATACGATCAGATGCTCCAGGAAGGAGTCAAACCCGAGGGGCACTGTCTGGTGGTGCTGCTCCGGAGTGCGTCTCACTTGCGGCAGTTCCAGAAATATCTACACGACAGCACGTTAGACCCGGATATCACGGAATGGTTCGCTGATAGGTCGGACATGGACCTCTCCAAGATATTCGATCGCATGCCGTTTGGAGTCTTCCAAGCATACATCTCGCTCCTCTGTCAGCTACATCCTCGTGCCGTGACCGTCCAACCTCCTTCAGAGTTCAACGATCAAATCACCGAAGCGATCCAGCTAGTAACGCAATTCTCCAGCCTGGCGCGCACAGAAAGCAGACAACCTATCAACACGCGGCCGTTATGGAATCTGCTCCTCGACCGCCTTAGCAAGCCTCGAGGAGTTTACGTCGCCGAGCACGTGCCGTATAAGCGGGAGTATGCCACGTTGCTTTTGTACTGCGACGTGCTCTCTGCGGCGAGGAATATGTGCGCGCTGGATTGCGACATGTTCTTTTTCACGGCTAGGGCCATCTCGAATGCGATGCGTCCTCACTTTAGCCAGCATTTACGGCCGGAGAACGAACCGGAAAAGACTGGAAAGCCCGAGAAGAAAGAGCCAGGAGAACCGGTGATCCTAAGCATAGCCGAGGAGCTGCGCCGCGGACAGAACGACCCGGATACAGACTTTGTGCGCTGGGCACAGCAATTAAAGGGCGGGGCAGCAATAAATCTGGAGACCTTGATCGGATCCATGGCCCGCTTCCTCGCCGCCTCCTTCGACGAGCTCTCCTCGGACGTCGCCCCCCTCACCGGCCCTGACGGCACCTCGTGGCCCATGCCATCGACCTACCAACGCCCCCGTGGCATGGAAGCGCACATCTACATGCAGACCCTCGCCCATCTCCTCGACTACAGGGGCATGCTCCGCCTACTGGAGTGGATAGCCGACGAGTGGACCCGCGTCGTCGACGAGAAAGAGTCAGGGCCTGCGCTAGAGAAGAACCGGTTCCATCTGCGCAGGGCGGTGTGTGCGTTCCGGGCGCTGGCGGAGCGGTTCGTGCCCGAGGAGGAGCTGGCGTCCGTGAAGAGTCGGTTGGTGGAGGCGGATGGGTGGCCGGGGCAGGGGGAGGTGAAGTATTATCTCGAGGCGAATTGGCCCTCGCAGGAGGTGGGGGTGGTTTCGGGGAGGTTGGGGTTTGCGAGGGTGGCGGGAAGGGAATACTGGAGTGAGGGCGCGTAGGACAGAGCGTGTAGGAATTATTCATTGTACTATTGTGTCTATCGATCACACCTTTTGCCTGGGTGTTATATAGAGTTGGGGATTGACCAACCCCCCTGGCGTTGTGGGAATTTGGATACAGATCAGAGAACATATCATGCTATTTAGACTACATATTGTCATACATACTTTTTGCAGGTCTGAATAGCATTCTAAAAGCTCAACGCTCTATTTCTGAGCATTGCTATAGGACTCTCCTGTGCTCGGTTCAGCGAGAGACAAGAGAAAGTTGTAAAGGAAGGTCGTTTTATATGTGGCTTGATACGCTCATAAGCCACAGCACGCCACATTGGATTTCGACGACGAGCGCCCGTCGCGCTTTCTTCACTAATAAAAATAACAAGAGAGTTAGTTAAGGAAGGAGTTGCTCCCGGTTTACAGTATCGTCACAATAGAAGCAACTCGAGGAGATTAATAGATTGGTTTTCTTCAATAGAGCATCTATTAGCCTTATTCTTTTTAATTCTTTCTTATTATAGCAGCATTAAGATACCCTCTTGCGGACTTCCTTCCCGGCTCTCACACGCACGCGACTTGGCCTCCTTCTATACGAGTTATAATAAGCTTTTGTTTCTCCTTCTCAGAACGAAGTTCGCCCGTCTTCTTGACCAACTAAAAGAGGAACTTTCCAAGTTAACACGGCAAACACCGAGAACCGTTCAACTCGGGGCAGAGCAGCTTGGTTTCCGGAGAGTTTGTCAAGAGAAGCCAGCCACCTTTCCTTTCCCTCTAGTTTCGTCTCATCAGACATCTTACTCTCTTCGTAATCCCTATTTTGAGTGAGAAGCTCCTTCAACTTCAGAGTCAGCTGTCTAGTCACGCGGAGCTGCCTGAGGAGGAGTGAGTGGGAGTGGTACGTGCTGCTTTTCTTTACTATAGGCGAACGAGCCTTTCACGTGGCTAACATGATGTCTCTAGGGATCTACCGCTGACCTAGTTTCTTTGGGATACACCGGAAAGCTGGAATGTATCTCTAGAGCTTGTGGCTCTCGAACTGGCGCTCACTCTCTTCCTGGCTGCTGAGGGAGACTTGAGAGGACCCCATGGAGGCTGCTAAGCTTTAAGAATTCTTGACCTATGCCTTCTCATCTAGAGGGAGTCCTCTTCGGCGAGGTCTCTGACGTTTTTGCTGAAGCAGAACCAGGAAAAGAGGACGTCAACTCCATACCTCGTGGATCGATCGAGTGTCCCATCTGTGCAAGCGTCAATGAAACAGAAGCCCTCGAGAGCGTGGAATTCGATGGATTCGTCGTCTCAGATTTACTGGATTACAGGGACAGCCGCCGCACTACATCTGTAGGAACCTCTTCCTCCAAACGCCGGAAAGTTAACGGGTCAAGCGCATGGGTCACTTCAGAGTCAGGAACGCCTCAAGTCGTGCCAGAATTTTCTGAGATTTCCGAGCCTCTCTATGATGCCGATGGAGTGCGCGTGGGTGAGGTTTTTCCGGATTACATCGCTACGGTTCTACCGAATCGCATCCACGTAGATGTCCCCGAGACGACCCTCATCTCTCCGGAATCGCGATATGAAGGTTTCATACCGCCGGCTCCGTGCCTTTCCGAAGGGAAGGCCTTGGGCGTTTTACTGAAAAGGCTTAATGAAGATGCCGGAGCTAAGAATTCCGCATCCGACTCGGAGGGGGAATTCCTCGAAATATTACTCGATGACTTTTCGGTGTACAACGACTCCAGACGGTCCGGCGAGGAGATGCGTCCCCTGCAGTATTTAAACGCCAAGACGACTCGATACAGCCGCCTCCTCTTCGACGGCGTCCTGAAAGTCGGCGACGCAAGGTACTTCGTTGAGAAAGTGCCTTTCGAGGAGCTTTCGGTCGGCAACTACGGCGTTGAGAATCATTCCGTCGACGGCCAGATCTGGATTCGGTCCCTACGCAACGCCAGGACCGGAAACAACGTCTACTACCGGCTCGGACAGCCTGCGCGGTGCTACGCGCGTTTCTTCTCGGATTTCGTGTGGATAGCAAATTTTGCGAAGTACTTCGTCGACTATCTCGAAGCCCTCCACCAGGGTGGGAAGAAGGCTAGCATCTACGACTTCAGGAAAAATTTCTTCGCGTGGACGTCGCGCAGACATTCTCTGTCGCCGGCGTTTACGCAGTGGTTCTCCGCCTACGGAAAGCAGGATTTCAGGGTCCCCGTGTCGGTGAACGTCGAGTTTCTTTACAAGGAGACGTGCGGCGTGCTCTCTCAAAAGGTTGCGTTGAGCCAGCGCGTTTTCCGCGAGGTTCTGACTTTTACGGAGTACAAGCCGATCGCATCCGTCCCGGCGAAGCGCGTCATGGAAACCCCGCCGTCTGTGTCGCCCGAACAGACCGATCCAAAGAATGCGGATGTTCCACCAACTATTGTCACCCCTTACATAGCCCACTGCTTTGGCCATCTTCCTTGTGGTCCTGTGATGAAGGCGGTTGATCTCGATCCGACGGTGGAGAAGCTCAGGGCGGGTATCACAGATGGAGTGGGGCTCGAATTGATCCGGAGAGCGATGGAGGATGGTGCATCTGAACGTCCACCGCTGACCCAATGCCCTCTTTCTGAGGGCCAGCGGGAGCGGATGCTAGAGAGCATTAAGCCAGGTGATACTATTTCTATCAAGCCTGATGATCCCTCTCTAAGTAAATGGGCGGAGGAAGCGCCCCACGGGGTTAACAAGGCCGACAATAAATGGCTCGGACTTGTCCAGTCCATCCAGAGATCGCGACGGGGCAATCGCTTATTCCAAATCATCTGGTACTACCGGCCCGTCGACACGATTTGCAGCGTGCTAAAATACCCCGTCGCAAATGAGCTCTTTCTCTCAAACCACTGCACATGTAGCGAAGGGCTCGAGATTGACCAAGACGATGTCCTAGGTGTCCACAAAGTTGGCTTTTACCCTTCCCTCGGCTCCGATGCCGAATTCCTGTGCAGGCAAACATACGACATGGAAGAGCGTCGGTTCACTACGTTTAAAGATGGCGATAAGGTCTGTGCCTGCCAAAAGGAAGGAAAAGAAGGAGCCGAGCTTGAGAAGTTTTCTGAGAGGTACCGATCCGGCGATACCGTGCTCGTGGAGCTGAAACGCGGCGATACGCAGCTCGAGCCTTGCGAGGTCGTGAAGATTGACCAACAGACTGGGCGGCATGTTCAACTGCGCCGCCTCTTCCGTCGGGCCGTCGTAGAGCCCACTGCGAAGAAAGCGAGGCCGAACGAGCTCGTCTACTCGGAAGAGACTGTGGTGAAACGTTTCTCTTCGGTAAAGGGGAAGTGTTTCGTGAGGGTAGTAGATGCTGGGAAGCCCATTCCGGTGCCTTATAACCGCGACGGCGTGGGTCTCTTGTTTTACATGACCCACGAGCTTCGTGATGGAGGCTGTCGGCCTTTGGAGTCTCCGCCGCCTTCATTGAGACAATCGTTCGCTCCTGACCTTCCAGGCCCCAGCGCTCAAGGGAAACGAGCCAAGAAAGAAAAGACGAAGAAGAAGATAAAGAAGAGGCTCAATGGTCTTGACTTGTTTTGCGGTTCTGGCAACTTGGGTCGTGGGCTAGAAGAAGGCGGCGCAGTGGAAATGCGTTGGGCAAACGACATCTCAGAAAAAGCCATTCACACGTACATGGCCAACGCGCCCGACCCGTCGCGTGTTACTCCGTTCTTGGGGTCGATCGATGCGTTGCAAGAGAGGGCTATCCGAGGCCAGTTCAGCAGTTCTGTCCCTCGGGTCGGCGACGTGGGCTGCATAAGTGGTGGCAGTCCCTGCCCCGGCTTTTCGCGTCTCACGAATGACAAGACAACCCCGATGCAGCGAAAGAACCAAAGCCTCGTAGCCGCGTTCGCCTCGATGATCGACGTCTACCGCCCCCGCTACGGCCTCCTCGAAAACGTCGTAGGCATCGTCCAAAAACGCGAACTCAAGCACGAAGACGTCTTCTCCCAGCTCGTCTGCGCCATCGTCGGCATGGGCTACCAGGTTCAAATGCTCTTCCTCGACGCCTGGTCCTACGGCTCCTGCCAATCCCGCAGCCGCGTCTTCCTCGTCTTCGCGGCCCCCGGCGAGACCCTCCCCGCCATCCCCGTCCCTTCGCACTCGCACCCTCCTCACATCAGGAATGCCGGCCTCGGCAGCCTCGGCAACGGCGAGAAGATGACGACGCGCGAGTTCCACGATGCGTACGCATTCAAATACCGCTCGGCCGAAGAAGCCACCGCAGACCTGCCCTATCTGTACGACGGAAAGACGGATTACTGCGTTCCCGCGCCGGACCACGTCCCATCCGCTACGATGACGAAGCTCATGCGCGCCCAGGTACGATGCATCCCCCGCTTCCCCACGGGAATGGGCTTCTCCTCTACCTGGAACAACGGCCACGGTCGCATGACCCCCTCCGAACGAGACCTCTTCCCCGCCGTGGGAGTAAGACGCGTCACCAAGTTCTCCCTCGCCTGGACGCGCTGCCGCCCCGCGCGCCTCTTCCCCACCGTCACCACGGCGCAGTGTCCGGCGGACTTCAAGACTGGCGGGCAGATCCACTGGGCCGCCGAGCGGTTCCTGACCCTCCAAGAGAGCCGGAGGGCGCAGGGGTTTCCGGACGACGAGGTCTTGTTGGGGTGTACGCGGGATAGGTGGAAGGCTGTGGGGAATAGCGTCGCGAGGGAGGTTTCGCTTGTTTTGGGGCTTTCGTTCCGGGGGGCTTTGTGGGGGATGAACGATGATGATGATGACGGTGGTGAGCATCGACTCGGAAGGGAAGTCGGAGGCCTCGAAGTTGGAGGCGTTGGTACCCCGACAACCTGCGAGGAGAAATCTCTTCAGATGCTCGCAACGCTTAATGGGTTTACGGTGCCGGAGCAGAAGAACGGCTTGGCGTGGCCGTACGTCTCGCCCGCCTCTGTTAGTACTACCAGGAGCTGTTCTCACGACGTCGAGAAGATCCATGGCCCGAATTGTCTTCGTGGAGGAAA